CAAACTCTTTCTGGATTGTTAAGGAAAAATAGCCACCATATGTGTCTCACGTTAAGATGGTTTTGAGAATCACACACCTCTCACCTTGATAATTCACCCTTCAGAGTTAGGTTTGCATGTTGGTTTCAGAACTCACCATAGAGAGAAACAAGGTTGCATTGAGGATTTTAAGCACAACAGTGAGAGTGCATTAAATGAATAGAAAGATAAAAATATGACACAGAACATAAATATTTGGAGCAATATTCTTCAGCCTTCACAGCTGATAGTTTCTTTGCTCAGACTTCAGATTCCTGGCAACTTTCATAGTGAACATCACTTCTTTTGCTTTTGTCGTTGTTAATCATGCAAAACACTTTAGGAAGTTAGTCTTAGCTGGAGCCATAATACAGTAGAAGTAGTCTTGAGTTGAGATTCCCAAAACCCACAGTCCCACAATTGAGAGAGAAGGTTGTTTTGGTTAAAAAAACAATAGAATGGAAGTGAAGGCTATGATACAAAAATTATATATAACAAATGGAAGGTATGAGAAGCTGAGAGGAATTGTAGAAAATGCCAAGGAATGCAAGGAGAATCCTTTGGCCTGCAGAGTTAAGTAAGTACTTAAAATATATTAGGAACAAAAATAATCATGACAATGGTGTTGGTCCATTACTAGATGGAAGAGGTAGAATAGTAATGTGGAAAAAGTATAAGTGCTCAATAAATATTTCTGTTCTATCTTCTGTTTTACCCCAAATGTAGTTGGACAGTGATAACATTTTTTTCCCTTCCATTGGTATCTCTGGAGAAGGGATGTGAATGGTTAATCAGTTAACTGATAAGGTTTAATGTGTGAGTTTTATCAGTTTTGGTTTACTAGTGGGGGCTTCTGTGGGCTGGAGCACTCCAGACCGACCAGAGCAATGCCTATCTGTGGTGGGCCCAGCACATGCGCATTGTACACAAGGGCTTTCTGGCTGGCTGTGGCAGCCTCTGTGGGGAGTGGATGGAGGAGAGAAAGGAGGGGGTGCTCCAGTCCCCCTGCCAGTCTAACCACCCCCCCTTAATCAGGTAAACATTATTAAACATTACATTTAATCAGTTAACTGGTTAACCAGTTAAACAGGATTTTACATCCCTACTCTGGAGGATGTTAAATTAGATATTTATAAATCGAAGGCTTCAGATAAAATTTTAAAAGAACTGGCTGAGGAGCTTGCTGAAGTGTTGATGGTAATTTTTTTCACAGTAACTTAACAGTGGCAATACTGGATTAAAACAGTGGCCCATATAGCCAAGTATCCTGTCTTTTGACAGTGAATGATACCAGATGATTCAGAGGGAAAGAACAGAAAAGAGTAATTATTGTCTGATCCATCCTTGTTGTCTAGTCCCAGCTTCTGGCAGTCAGAGGTTGAGGGACATACAGGGCATAGGGTTGAGTCCCTGACATTCTGGGCTAATAGCCATTGACTGACATATTCTACAGGAATTTATCTGATTGTTTTTTCAACCCAGTATAGTTTTGACCTTCACAACATCACCTGGCAATGAGATGCACAGATTGACTGTGTTGAAGTAATATCCCTTATGTTTTTTTTAAACCTGTTGTCTAATAATTTCATTATCTGACTTCTGGTTTTTGTTGTTTGAAGGGATAAAAACTTTCCTACTCATTTCTCCAATACCATTCTTTGGTTTCGTGAATGACCAGACAGTGATGTGACAGTTATGTATTGTTTTTAACCAGGTACCCCCTGCATTACATGTGCAGGTCTGTTAACCCTCCCCTCACTCACACCCACATGCAGTTGACACAAGCAATAAAGCTCCTTTCAAAAATCATTAGTTTCTATTTATGAAACCCAGGCAAAAGAGAAAGAAAAGGAGGTCAGTGTGTGAGTCTTGCAGGGAGGAGGTGGAGGGCACAATGGCAAGTGGTTTATTACAATCCCCCTGTGTAGCAACCTGTTTGTCTTCTTATATTTAGTTGTGCCCCGTTGATGTGGGTGAATAGCATTTGCTCATGAAACATGTTATCCTATGTCATGTTTTTTAGCTGTCTGATCTATGATAGCTGAAGTGCTGCAGGACTTAGGGGAAGTGGGTAACAGACTCACTGTTGCAGCTGCATTGAGGGAAAAAATGAAGGACAGGCTTTAGAGACAATACCTTGTAGAATGCAGAAGCTAGTCTTTTACCTTGAATGAAGCTCTGGGGTATACAAAGGCATGTGTTTTGTACAAGGCCAAAGAGATGTTTTTAAGTGCCTACTAGGCAGGTACAAGACACACAAGCCCTGCACGTTGCAGTTATATCTGTTTGGCCACAGACTTGGTAATCAGCAATTTGGGATTCTTGGTATTTGGCTTTGAAAACATGTGACAAAGTGGCTGCAAAGTGCAGCTCTCTTGGCCAGGCATTAGGGATGTTAAATTTCAATTTATCAGCTAATTGAGTAGTCAATGGAATTTTCATCGACTACTCGATTAGTCAGTAAGGGGGGTGCTCGCTATCCCACTGCACCTCTGCCTTTGAAATGTACAAGAGCCACCTGCGGCTTTGCTACATTTCAAAGGAAGAGGCGCAGTGGGGAAATCCATTTGCACAGGGTCCTGACAACTGTGCCTTTCCTTTTGAAATGTACAAGAAGCAGCAAGTGGAGGGAGTGACTAGTCGAGAAGTGACTCCACTACCCGCTTCCATACCTACCAGGTGTCCATTGCATTTGCAAAAGGGGGGCCCGCATTTGTGAGGGACCCTGCAAGAGGGGGTGGGATATGCATGGGCTCATGTGATCAGTGTGTGTTTGCCACCCCCACCCGCTGTGCACCTGCAGAGTATAACTCTCCTTTCCCATGTGGGCCTGCCAAGGGGGGGGGGAGGGGAACTGGGAAGGAGGAGCTAGCAAACCAGGAATCTTTATTTGTTGGGGATGAGCAAACAGAGGTGGATTGCCAGTGATATCAGTTACAGAAGTTCCCCTTCTTCATCCAGGTTGCTATGCATGATGACAGTTTTGTCCTAATCACAAAATTGCATTCTGGACTCACTGATTGTGCCCAGATATCTGGGAGGTATGCTGTGGTTCTTTGTGCTGCAATGATGCCATCCTTCCGGGGAGAACGGAATAAGGCAGGCCTTCCCAGAAATCTAGTATCTCTGAGAGCTTTGTACAGATGTGTAGGTAGGATTCCCATTCCATCTCCAGACATGTTGTTAAACTGTTCCAGAGAGCCCCCTCTGTGTAGACAGAATGGCCACCACAGATAAAACCAAATTCCCTTCACCCACTTGTAGTAGGAATACAAATGTGAACTCACTAGAAGTGCTCTCCCTTCCTTCAGAGTCCAGTAGCAATACATCTTGGGTGGAGGGGATTGGTTCCAAAGTTTAAAAAAAATGCTTCTGGCTGTCTGTAGGGTCAAATGCTCTGCCTGCCTGGTGAGCATTCTTCTCCTCCTCCTTATCTACCTTCCTCATCTGCAATGTCCTCCCTGTTGTTACCTGAGGCTATCTGAAGAGTAGCTTGGGAGGTATCACGGACAGCTTTGGGACACTGCGTGCCCCCCTAGAATCCCATCATATCATTATCATAAACAACCATGGACCCAGTGCCCGTTGGTGTCTGATGCCTCCCTCACTATTTCTTTCCATCTTTCCCTGTCCAGTGCGGAATGACTTAGTTTCTGTAGACTAGCTGCGCACCAGTCTACTATTAACTATATCATCTACCTATTCTCTGTGGGGTCTGCCTCTCCTATTCAGACCATCTATTATGCTGAATACCAGGGTCTTAACTTTTCGCTCTTCATTCATTCTGTGGATATGCCCGAATAACTGAAACTTTCGTTGTATAACCTTCTGCAGTAGGTTCTCTTTCGGCTGTATCTTCCTATATAATTCCTCATTTGTAACCTTCTGCATCCATCTTATTCTCAAGATCTTTCTATAACAACTCCTCTGGAACACCAATATCCTTCCCTTCTAATCTTCGCATCCGTACAACATGCTGCTAAATACACACATTTTCAAGACACTCAGCTTTGTTCCTAAGCTAATTGCTTTACTTTTCCAAATCTTATCTATCGCCTTCAAACTCGCTCTTGCTTTTGCTATTCTAGTCACTATTTCCTCCTTACAATCTAGATCATACATTGTGTTGCTCCCCAAATACGTGATTTCTCTACGTTCTCTAGTTAATCCCAGCTATGCTGATCTTCCTTCCTATTTCCGTATCTCCAAATACCATTGTCTTCGTTTTATTGATATTCATAATCAGCCCATACTGCTCCCCTTCCTCATTTAGCACCTGCACCATTCTCACTAACTTCTCTTCATCTTCCACAATGATAACTATATCATCTGCGAACCTCAAGTTGTTAATTCTCATCCCGAGCACCGATATCCCTTCTACCTCTTCCTTGATCTTGTCCATCGCTCTCTCTAGATGTGTGATGAAGATACTCGGTGATATCGAAGCGGCATGTCTGTGGATCTGACTCAGACTTACCTTTTGTTTCCTTTGTCTTCTGGTATGCCTGCCTTTATTTTGATATGGGACTGCTGGGTGTCCCTGGTGGAAACTTTTTCCACCATGCTTTGTGCAATTTTTGGCATAGATATCAGCATTTCTTCTGTTGCTTTGGAGTTCTTCCTGCATAGAATCCTCTCCCTACACATCAGTTAGGATGGTAAAAGATCTCCTGCATACTTCATGCTGGAGCTTGTTTGGGGCCTTGAGCATTCATGGTCAGGTGTACTGCTAAGATGTGCTGCTGGGCTTTCTACGCCGGCCAAACAGGAAGTAGAATTCAAAGTTTCTTGGGGCTTTTCTTTGTGTACCTGGGAGAGCAGCGGAGTTGAAAGTGCTGGCCAGATTGGTCACATTGGAGCTTGGTGGGACACTTCCTGGAGTCCAAGAACATTGACTTTTAACTGTGTTGTGTCTGCACTAGGGATGTTAAAGCTCAACCATTTAACAGATAACTGATACTTATTAGTTACTTTTTTCCCCCTAGGGGAAAGCACAAACACAGTCCCCCACTGCCACAAATTATGCAGTCTAGTTTCCCAAATTTGGGGAAATCGCAGAAGTCAGCACACTCGCAGTGCAATGGGTGAACTTTACCCTGGGAAAACCACCTTAAATGGTTAAACTCACTGGGACCCTATCAGCAGCCCAGAGCCAGCTGGCACTGGAGCCAGCTTTCATGGCTCCCCCAAAGAGTAGGGCCAACAGCTGGACCAGGGCAAAACCCTTCTCTCCCTACCACTGTATCTCCTAAAACATTTAACTGTGTAACCAACGGGTTAGATGGTTCATGTTTTTCTATGTTTTTTTTTATGTTAGTGCAGACTACAATCGCAAAGTCAACCATGCAAGATTAAATTTAGCACTACTCCTCTCATCAAGGAGGAGTATAGACATCAAGTTTAACCCCTCTTAAAGTTGTCAGAATGGGCTTTGTGATGTAGATTGTTTAGAAAATCGGCCTAACATGATTAATATCATCCTAACCTCCTAGAGTAGACCAGGCCTCAGATAACTGAAGGATTGTCTACACTGGTCCACTGTTCAGACTATTTGGGATGTGAATAAGCAGTGTGAAAAGTGCTGCTCTGTGACTTCTTTGTGTGGATGCTGTAGATACTAACTAAAAGGTTCCTAGTGTGCGTTAAGGTCGGTCCTTGGGAAAATATATATTTTTCTCTTACTTCCAGTCCATTTCTGAATTTCTTCAACTCCCAGCACTGGATTCGGTTCTATCATTCTTTACTGTCATCTGTGTGTTCACCTTTCCCTTGCAGAATGTTCTCTCAGTTCTTCTGAGTATTGAATCTTCATCAAGGATTGTCTGTCTTCCATGAATACCTGGAGAACTCTGTGTGCAAGCTTGATTTCCTTACAAATTGGGCTGAACTGCCATCCATGTATGTATCCTGTGCATTCCTCTATTCCTTTGGAGCTGTTGGATTTTGAGGGGTATCTTCCAGAGTTCCCAGGTTGAATATCTGAAATTGACTTGAAACTTCTAGCAGTGTGGAATTCTTTCTAGTCTTCTCTTTGGTGGCCACAGCCTCTCCATCCTTTTCTGTCTCCAACTGTGTAAAAAGCTACTGTGTCTTCCTGCCTCTGGTGGTTACAAACCACCAGGCTTCTGTCAAATTATTTTCTCTATGATTTCTACTGGTCAGCTACTTTTTTTTCCCTTGAACTTATGGTACTGATTTTTTCCTCAGTCTGACTGTGTAGGAACTCCCTCAGGTTGATTATCAGTAGCTTCTCAACTTTCCCCGCCAATCCAAGAGTCTTGTTTTCCAGCACATCCACCACCTTGCACATCATATACGTAAAATCCTTTCTGTCTTCAGGCATGAAAGAAAACATAGTGCATCTGTTATAGGTTATCTAAAGAGCTAAATGGAGAAGAGGTCTGCTGTCTGGACATTTTAGCCTGTTTTCTCCACTGGCAGCACCAGCCTGAGCAGTGTTAGCTGATCTCTTCTAGCTCTGAAGCACTGGGGATTTTCTAGCTGTTCAGTAAGTGTTAGCCTGGCAGCAGTATCTGCAAATTACTTCCTTATGTAGGGCCAAACTATATTTTCTAACCTTACAGGGGCAAAATTCAAAGGGATTGGTGTGTTCTCCCTCCTCCCATCATCCTCAAATATGGAGCCCCCACTTTTCTGGGACCCTGATATAATTCTAATTGGATTGATGGAAACTTTTTACACTTTACCTTGCTCCCTTTACCACTTACCAATGAACAAAGGTTTTGTTTTTGTTGGCCTTTAGATCAACTACAAGAAAGTAATGGATTTGGAGAGGCACTGTGTCCTGGCAGTCAGCCTAGCGGTTGGCGTGGAGATAGACGTTAGATGTAGAGTCAGGGTTGGGCCACCATAGGTGGCCCTGGAACAAAATCCAGATATAGCCAAATATGCAAACTGAGTAGTCCAATGGTCCAGGGAGGGTCAGGAAGTGGAAGCAAGGCTGAAGTTGGTCAGTAAACAGAGTGAAGTGAGATTAGAGGGAGGGATGTAAAATCCCATTTAATTGGTTAACTGGTTAAATGTTTAACCAGTAAACAGATTAAAGTGGAAGTAAGCAGGGGAGGGGGCTGGAGCAGCTCACCCTCTGTGGACAGGGACTGCTCTAGCCCCCATCTGTTAACCATTCACATCCCTAATTAGAGTAGGGCAAGAATGAGACTGGATCCGGGCTCAAGCAAGGCTGGGACAGGAATTGAATAAAAAACAGGCTGTGAGTCTCAAGAGTCCGATATGTTTCAAGACAACAGGAAGGTTTGGCTGGGTAGTGCTGTTGCACAGACTGATTAGCAGATTGGGGAGATAACCCCCAAGCTTAGGTATCTGACCCATGTCCATCTCAGGGCTAGGCTGCTGCCACTTGCCTCCAGGCTCTGTTGGTAAGGTAAATCAGTGTAGCTGGGTTGTTGATGCATGTTTGAGTGATGATTCACTGCAGCTCTGTTGGAGGGGTGCCTGTGTGAGCATTCTGGATTGGCTGCAGGTTTGCCTGACTTAGTCTTTAATGTGCTGGATCCCAATGGTCTGCATGTCTGAAAGTGGCTTGTATATGGTCTCAACAACTCTGAGACTGGAGATTGGGGCTCCAGTACTCCCTATTTTCCAGTGCCGACCTGAGCCATTCTTGTGCCGCGGGCGTGTGGCGCATGTGCGGCCCTGCCCCTGGGCTTGTGGCACATGCGCGGCCTCCGTCCCTGGATGCATGATGCACCTCCAATTTACAATCAGGCACCCCCCCATAGGTTGGCGCCCTGGGCAGATGGCTGGCTAGCTCCCCACCCGCTTAAGCCAGCCCTGCCATTTTCCCACAGTGAGGTCTTATATCGTGTCTGCCTTATTACAGTTGCCTATGGAATCACCTTTTCCTTCTTAGGGAGGAATGCCACCCAGTAAGTATTTGCAATGCCACAGGGCAGCCTTTTCAAAGCAGGTAATAGTGATTAGTCATCTGGAATATAGCATGAGAGAGCCTTTAGTTTAGCGTGGAGTAGATGTGGTTAAAATCAAGTCCATATTAATAGAAGTAATGGTTTTGCTATGCCTTTTGGAAAAGCCTGCTCTTTCAAGCCATCCCTTCTTTCTCGTACAATGAGGTTTACAGGGATGGCGAAAGAACATGCCCGCTTGTCCAAAATTTTTTTTGGAAAAGCGGACGCATTCCTTGGACACAGCATTGCTTTTCGGGATACGGGAGTGCTGCAGTCTAAATGTAGCCTCAGACTTGTAGTGCTTATCTCCTTTGCCCAGGGAGGAGACTAGCTTTTTCAAGCTCTCATGGCAGATTTCACATACTGTCAAAAGGACGGTGTTATCAGAGGCAGCAGTGTGGGGGGCAGGCTGCTCTGCGGGATCTGGTCTCCATTACACATTTACAAAAATAGTTTGCTAATATCCCTGCTGTAGAACAGCTACACGGAACTAGAGAATCACAATTAGTGCTTGCTCTTCCCTATTGCTAATTTTGATAGAGCTGTCCTGCAGTCATTATTGAGGTTGGCCATCTTTTACTTACCTGTGAGCAATTAGACAAATAAGCCCCAATATCCAATAAGGATCCATTTTAACCTGCACCCAAAAGTAAGACAATCCAGTGCCAGCTCCCTACTCCAGATGCCAGTGTCAACTCCCCCACCCCTTAAATGTACTAGCCCTGCCCCCAGTATTTGTTTTGCCCACAGAGCCAGCTCTGCCTCTCAGAGCCCCTCACCCCCAGAGCCCTCTAGCAGTAGCTCTGCCCCCGAAGCCCCTAGTGCCTGCCCTGCCCCCCTTACCTAGCCCTGCGCTGCCTCCCAGGCTCTGCGCAGCCCTCCCACTGTGCAGTGAACTACTTTTCTATGTCCAGGAGGAGAACCCACCCCTGCTTGGTACTGGTTGGCTGAGAGGTGGGGCAGGACACACCTCTCCCAACAGCCACAGCAGGAGGGGATGTGTTGGGTGGTGTACTGCAGCCTCAGCTCCCAGACCTGCTGTGACCTGGCAGCCAGTGGTTTGCGATCTGGCACTGGTCCTCAGACCAGGGGTTGGGAACTGCTAGCCTGGAATATCTCCAGCATCTCCTGTACTAGTACTTTCATGCTGTTGGAATCTGACACGTGAACTGTGTATCAGTACTGTAAACTCTTTCTATCTTCTCTTAATAGTCTCTCCTCTGAGAAACACTAGTCAGGATGGGAACAGTGCTTGGAGGTATAGCTAGCAATAGCAATAATAAAGATAGAACTGGAAGCAGTGTGTTCCTGAAGAGAAATTCTTCATATGACAAACCTTTTTAATTGCAGTATTCTAGAAATCATGACAACCTCAGGAAAAGAGAACTTTCGATTGAAGAGCTACAAGAACAAGTCTCTAAATCCTGATGAGATGCGTCGTAGACGGGAGGAAGAGGGCCTTCAGCTGCGGAAGCAGAAACGGGAAGAACAGGTACTGCAGAACTCTTCTCTTGTAACTATAGCTAGTCCTTAAAAGACTTTTCTTGAAAAAGTCTGCTCCACTGGTTATCCCTGTCATAAGTTTGTGCATGCTAGAATTCTGGTGATTAAAGAGAAGATTTCCTTGATAGTGGGAGCCAGTTATACTGTTGCCTGGTTGCTCTTTGATATATTGAAATCACACGAGATAGAGCCTTGGTTCTGCCATGACTATGGGATACGTTCATATACCAGTCCTGCTTTTGAGACTGATATGTTGAACAGGGAATTGAACATTTTTTTTGTGCCTACAATTTGCTGAAAACAACCATTGGATTATTGGTTTCCTGTTACCTCAGAAGAAGGGAGCCTGCAAATAGGGACAGTGCTGAGAGAATTTTCTTACCAGGAGCAGTGTCTTGAGTAGAAGTAGAGGTTTTTACCCTTGGGATGTTGCTTGGTGTAGTTTGCCAACCCTCAGCTTTGGCTCAACCACAGTGTCTTTAAGTCTCTTGCCTCTGGATCCTCTATAAGAGCTC